AGGTGTCCAGCTGGAGATGCAGCACTGGGCTGTGAGGAAGAGGAAATCCAGCTGAAGAAAATCTAGACGAGTGCCACAAGTGCCTGAACACGGATTTGGAAAACCGTAGGATGAAAAAAACTAGGAAAGCCCCAGGGTGAAAAACTGAAAGGGCTGGGGTTGTTTAGTCTAGCAAAAAGAAAACCAGAGGTGGCTTGATAACAGCCTCCCAATATGTAAAAGGCTGCTGCAAATTAAACCGGAGTGGTATCGCATTTTCTCTGTGGTGGATGGGATGAAAAAGGTTTGCATCTTTTATTAGGCTAAACCAACTGATTTGATAAACGTGGACAAACTTGAAGGCATATAAAGCTTTCTTAAGCTTGAAACAGAAGATGTGAGTAAGACCATCTTTGCTGCCACAGTACTCCTAAGGATGGGGTTTTAGCACAATGGCATTTTAGCACCATCTTAGCACAGCAGCAGCTTGTCCAGGCTGCAGGATTCCTGTGTCCTCGGGCATTTTTTGGGAAGAGATTTGGCAAAAATGATTCAGCATTAACTGCTTTGAGTTAGACCAGCTTTACTAATTGTGTAAGTCCCAGTGCTGGAGGTCTTTTCAGAAGACTTTGGCCCAAACCCTCAAAATGTATGTATCCACCTGTTTAGATGCCCAGGTTGAATACTTAAGCAACACTTAAAAAGCTGCTCAGCTGCCACGCAATTCTGAAATCACCTACATGTCTGCAGGCGGGCAGGCAATTTATCCCACAGCTCAGCTTGTTGTGTCAAGCTGTGAGAGGCGTCTCACATCGGGTATTCTGCTTTCCTACCACGTCCCTCCCTCATGACCAGTGAATGTATAAACGAGAGCAAATGCCCCCTACAACTGGATCTGGACTGCCACTGTGGACTGGCTGAGGGGTTACGGATTGCAGCTGTGATGTGTCAGGCACTGACTGCTTCAAATCTGTGTTTTTCCCTGACTAGAGACGTGAACAAGAACTTCAGTCTCCGGCATCCTAGGGTGAGCCCTCTAAGAGCTGAATTATATAGCATCTTACTCTGCCTAACAAATAATCAAGCTGATACCAAAACCGGAGGCTTCTTCACATTATTTCAGCTGGTCAAATAAATAATATGCACAGAAGTAAGATTGCATAAAACCTATGGAAAGATTTAAAAAACACATTTTAATGAAATGAGCTCAATTTGAGTCATCTCTCCAGCCAATATAATGAGTTGGAGATCCTGCAGGGCAATCTGTATTTTAAAAAAGAGATTAAGGGAGCATTTCAATATGGTTATGCTCCTTTATGCCTGTGAGAGCATGGCCTGAAGTCTGCCGGGCTCCCAGTAAAAGAACTGTGGCAAATTCATTGAACTCTGGGGTGCTGGGTCACGCTTTTAACAAAAAAAACAACCCACCTTTGCAGTTTTCTAGAATTCATGTGGAATTCATTTAACTGCTTAACAGTTTTATATTGCCAGATGCAACTAAGAAGCATTTTCTCATTTATTCACCACCTTATTTAGGAGCTTAAGATCCATATAGTCTATCTTTGCAGTTGCACTTAAAAATAAAATAAAAATACCACAACAGTATTCACAGCACAGGAAAAGCAGTTGCTCAGGGTCTTATTTGCTAGTACATGATTTAAAGCCACAACTAATTAACCCTCACAGATTCAGGTACATTTGTTTAGCTCTGTTTACAAAAATGAACATATACATAAGTTAAACACATCCTGAATTACAAATACATACTAGAGTACAATGCAGTTGTAAGTAAACTCTGCATTGAGAGTTGGACTTGTCCTTACTACACAGGTTTTAAACCGTTATTACATGCTTTAAAAAGCAAACCCAAGCAATGCAGCAGTCACCTGGTAAGCAGTTGTTAGCTGCGTCCCCAAATTTGCATTAGAAGCAGCTCATTTTTCCACTTGGTTAGCTAAAGAAACCTCTATACATTACTTCTTTTGAAATAACGTATAGAATTGGTCTTTGCAAAGTTCTGATACAATTCTGCCGAAGAGTTTAAATGCTCCGTAACGGAAGCTGCTGCAAGAGAAGCTGGAGAAAATAAAGCTGCTTAATTCATTATCATGCATGGAAAAAAAATCTTAATGTAAATACATACGTAAACATCTTCAGAGGAGTTAAAAAACCTCAGATGTCTGAGTCTCTGGAATCAGCAGAAGCCTGTCTCCAAAGTTTTTTTAGGAAATTGTATCTTAAATTTTATTCACAGAAAAGCCATTTTTAATATGTGGAATCAAATAGGATACTGGTCTGTTCCCTTAATCATGCCATACATTTGAATTTCGGTAATAATTTGTGACTCAGCTTGGTTCTCGGCAGTTTTCGGTAGCTGCAAGCCCTCCCTTGTAATCTGTTAATCACACATCAGTGATGGGTGCTTCTGCCTTCACCTCTTCTGTTTGAACTTGGCAGGGTGAGATTATTGCCTGCCCTAAGAGACGCTTGCTGCTGTGTGCTGTCTGTGGCGGATCTGTCAACTGCAGAGAAATGATCCTCAGACAACTGGATAAACCAGATATCAATGCTGACAGAGCATGTGACTGGAGTTAAGGTCAGAGATTCAAAGACTGTAGGATTGGGGCCCCAACGATTTATGCACAGGATTACCCCACGTGCTGTACATCGCTGGCTTCAAGGGAAGTACCTGCGAAGTTAAAGGTGTACTTAGTTCTTTGTGGAACCAGCCCTTCATAATCCTGTGAGCACATGCTAATAGGGTTTCACCAGATTTACTGTCTTTTCATTCCCTCCTTCAGAAAATAAATACACACAATAATTAGTTAACTTGCTAATTATATAATTAAAAAAAAAAAAAAAAGAAAAAAGGTTTTACATAGACTGAAGAATGTTAAAATGAGCTCCAACATCCTGCTATGCCGGATCTGGTGCCCTCTATAATTTATGTCACCCGTATCCTGACGGAGATTAAAATAGATTAAAAAAACGCCCGATTCTCATCACCAGTGCTAGGCACAGTTTTCTAAAATAAGTACTGAAAAATAATTCAGAGTCTAAATTTGCTCTCATGTTTAAGTTTATACCCCAAGAATTAAATCCACCTTCTCACAAAGGACCAAAAATAATGACAGTTCCATCTCAACTGCATGTTGGAAGTGCAGAAGGTTCTTCTGGTCTGGTGCTCCTTCTCTTCACAGAGTTGAAGCACAACTTTAATCCTTACAGCTGCTGAATGTCGCTTTATGATTTTCTTTTACCATATACTAATTTACTTTTCGGTATTTACAGCAAAAAGATTTATTGTTTTAATCTGCAGCTTTACATTAAGCATGTTATGATTGCAAAGTACATAAAACATACTTGCAGTACAGCTTGTCAAGACAATATTGAAAACTTTGTTTTGGTCAATGAATTTCATGTATTTTTAAAATGTATTTCTAAAGATGAGTAACTGTGAAAGAGGAGCTAAAAGAAGGCCTTTTATTTAGACACCAGATACAAGGAAAAACAGAGTCTTCCAAGGGGTGAGCATCTAGTGCAATATTTACACAAACTCCACTCAGATTTACTAATGCCATTTTCGCAGTGGTTCTCTGAGGAATCAAGAATCATAACCAAATATTATTGGCAGAAATCTTCAAGAAAAGCAGATGTCAAGTATTTGCCAAAATAAAATTTTAAAATATACACATGCCAGTGTTAGCACTAGAAATGCTTGACACCCAGGTAGGCCCAGCACAGCAAACGCTCTTCTGCATTTATGCCAATCAGCTGCTCTTCACAAAGCAGAGACACTCCTTCAAGCACACACATAACCACTTCAAGGAATCGGACCACTAACCAGAAAAAAGCAAGTGTTGTGGTAACAGCGACACAACTGGTCAACCACAGCGCCACAGCGCAACTTGATGTTCAATTATGTGCAAGTTTCTATACCCTTAAAAGTCTTCCAGCACCTGTTCAGAGCAACAGCAGGATATCGCCCACCTCTAAGCAAAGTGGTAATAACTTGCTCATGGGGAGTGGTACTTTTTCTAACATCCCTAACATGATTTCTTCCAAGCATTCACATGCACTTAAAAATTGATGTCTTACTATACCCTCTGCTCGACAACTACATCATCCATGGCTAAATGACTCTCATTGTATTAGATCAGCCACAGCTAAACAGATAATTTCCTCCTAATTAACAGAAGGCTGGCTAATAAAACAGAATTAATTTTTGTTAAATGTACTGCTATTTTCATACTCCCCCTTTAGCCTCTTTGCATCTTCTCCTTTAAGCTGTTTCTTCCTTTTCTCAGACTTTGCAGCTTGCTCCTTTCTTTCTTGATTTTCCTGCATTAAAACAGAATGGCAAATAAAAAAAAATAAATAAGAGTTACTGAAGGAAAAGCTGGGTTAAGAAACTCTCAATTTGCAATGATAGCTATTCTGAATATGCCCTATGCACACTTAAAACTCTCAGCTGCGGGGGTTTGAGAGTAAATCGCAGACCAGAGCTTCCTGGTCAATCCCTTTGGCCTTCTCCATATGATGAAGTTACCAGAAAACTATTTCATTAGCTTTAACTGCAACGTTTTACTATGGACTGAAATGCATTCCTCTTAGTCCATTTGTCCAATGTCCATTCCTCTTAGTCCAAAACAGAACAGTAGTTTAACTTCATTAGCATTCTGGAGTTTTATCCCATAGCAATCTTGATTTTATATTGTTTGCATTCAGAGATTGCTACCAGAAATTTCAGGAACTCTTCAACTGTGTTCAACATCAATTCACGGTTTCTCTTCAGGCACCTGTTAAATTTGCCAGCTGTATTTCTGCTGTAGCATTCAGTGGCAGAGCTGGATGTCTGTTAGTACCAGTCATACAACTGCCAGGACAGCGTAAATCCTGTTGGGATGTACGCAGGAAGCCAGGACTCTGTTTTCCACAGAGCTGCTGATACTGGGATGATATGATTAATGCGGGAAGAGAAAGAAATTGAAGAATTTCTCCTAGTAAGGGAAGAACTTTACCTGGTGGAAGAACATTTCTGGGATTTGATAAGTAGCGCAATGGTAGGAGAGGGTAGTTCTGAACAATGGGGATAACTGTAGCAGAACATCAAGAAGACAAAAGCCATTTTCTTAAAAGCTTATGCAGTCCTTGTTCTAGAGCTGCAATCGTCACCAGAACATTGCCATCACCACCTGGGAGCTTGCCTGCTTTTCATTGCAACCAGTCAGTAGCTAATCTACGTATTGTAGGTAGATCAGTACTTACTGGGCCTGCTGAGATTCGTGATGTTAAAAGCAGGGTGCTGCTGCGCCATATTACAAAATTTAATAATGTCCAGGAAGATGTTGATGATTTGGTGCAGATAGGATTCTTGATGAGACATGTCTGGTCTCCTCTGCAGAGAGTTTGGCAGCAGCAAAGACACTTTCCCGTTAGTGGTAGATTTGGTTGATTGCTATGGATCATCTGCTGATATTTCCATAAGATGAGCTGAAGAAGTCCCAGGAAACATGCACAAGTTTCTTAGAGCTTAGAAAGTAAAAGCTTAGGATCCTCTGGCCCAAAGAAATTTCCAGACAAAAAAAGAAAACTTGTGAACATTAATAGAGTTAGTCTCTCTGAAATATAGGAGCATTATAGGCTCAAGGTTATGGGGACCTTCACTGGATTCCTAGAAAAGGAGAGGAAAATGGTGTACTCTTGACAAAGAAAGAAAAGGATATATTTGCCCTGAATGGAGGGTGCTTCTGAAAGGATGAGGTACAGGTGGTAAGGTCTTATGCAAGGCTAAAAGCCTTTCATCATCGTATGCCCCCTACGTGCTTGCCTGGTAAGTTCCTGCTGTGTCTTAGCATAATGTCTTTGAGATATTATGGCTGTTGAGAGACTTGCAGATCTGTGGGCCCTGGGACAATATGCAACATGCCACAAGAAAAAAGGAGGTGAATTCAGGGATACCTTGTCCTGCTACTTGAGCAGCATACACACAGTACTAAGAACAAACCGAAACGCATTAGCAATAAATTTATGGACTGAGTAAGCCTGAACTGTTCAGAAACATTAAAAAGACCCCACAAACCCCATACATAACAATTTGACACAAACACACTGTTAACAGAGTTTCCTCAACACGAGAAAGCCTGACAAGGTAAAGTGGTAGGCAAGGCAGAACAACGAATATTCACAATCCCTTCTCCATCTCCTGGATTACTGAAGGCAGCTCTATGGATGAGACTGAAAGAGAGGTGTCACTTTGGATTTGCACTTTGTGGGACATAAGGTACTTGCTTGATCTTTGAATTAAAAGATGCTCCAAGACAACTGCTTATCCCCACGCTATCTAAAGCGCATCCTGTTCCACCACCACATGCACCCTACTGAGGAGCAGCTGCTCCTGCCCGGTTATCCTAGGGGACTACTCAGAGGAACTATCCCCGCACAGAGCCATCTCTATAACCTCTGTCATCAACTGAGTACTTCCTACAGCAGATTCTGTTTTAACATTTTTTCTCCTTTTCCTGAGCTTAGAGAGCCTCTTTGCTGGGAGCTCCCCTCTCTGAACAGCTGCGAGTGCAAAGGGAAATCAAATGTTTCTCCCAATCCCCTATAATCACACAGTGTTTCTTTTCCCCGCAATTTTACAACTCAGTTTTCAGTGTATCTCCAATTCTGTTTTTTTTATCTTTGAGCTGGGAAGCTATTTTCTCCTCATCTCCTTTCTCCTGCCATCTGCTCCTTTTATTTCTTGAGAATTGGTGAAACAGTCATCAGCCCTGGGTGACGAACCAGCTCCTTTTCACTGTGTCAGTTTTGGGGATCATATGAGGGTTTGAAAACATTTTTTTTTTTTCGCACCTCTTCAAGTAGATGGAGAGGAAGAGGGCAGATTCTTATTATAGTAATTTCATTTGTGTAGCTCAGTTTTTATTACCTGAAGGATAAGAGACCAGAAAGAACCCTCAGGGGGTGGAGAAGGATTTTGTTTAAACAAAGAAGTAACAAAACCAAAATCTCTCTAGGTAAGCTTAGGAGCTGTGAGAAATCACTATTTATCAAACTGATTTCCCTTCTTGTTTGATGTGAGAATGGAAAGATAGCACTAATGATTTTGGTAATACCAAGAGACCTGCTTTACACAGAAGACATCTCAAAATAAAAGCTACACCTTAGCCTTAAAGCTTACATCAAATGGCACTGGAAAGAGATGATGCGTGTGGCTGAGTCTAGTGTAAAAATCAAAAATCACAGAACAAAAAGATGCTTTAAAAATTAAAACCTTCAACTTTTCAGCATGTTGCTGTTTCAAGCACAGACAGAATCTTTACTACAACGATAGGGAGAAAGCAAGGCAAGAAGGAAGAGGAGATTACATTACAGGTCTGTGATGGAGGCAACACACATACAATGTGGCTAATAGCCATGGAACCTTTGACGTGAGGTTCTGTTGAGAAATAGAACCAAAAATAGGATGAAAAGGAGTTTACGTGTTGGGTAGATAAAAAGAAGCTTCTTTCTAGTTGCTCCAACCTGGCTGTGAACAAGCAGCACCCAGAAAAGTAGTTTAAATCTTCTGGACCTGTACTAGGACACCATATAACCTTTATTGGGGCTGTTTCTTAAAAGAACTTTTTTTTTTGATTTACGCTTCACAGCAATTTTCCAGTATAACTCTCCACAGATGCTGAGCCATTGTGTTCTCAACTCTCTTAATTCTTCCCTTCCAGCCTAGAGTTTTAGGAACTCTAAGGATCAGATGTATTGCCAAACTATCTGTGGTTTGTAGGGTTTATTTTCCAGACTGTCTGTGGTACAATTGCATTGTTTTGGATGCTGGGTAGCTGTATTGCTTGCAAAACTGAAGGCCAGTGCCTCACAGGAGAAGCAGGTAGCAGGAACACTACAGGATATATTTTTCATCTTTCATCTTCCAACACTTCCTCAGAAGCTCCTTTGTTTTCATCTGAAACTATGATTGGCTCTAAAGCAGTCCTTCAGCCTCTCTGGCCTTGAAGTTGCCCAGCACAGTTGTCTGTATTCCTGCAATACTTCCTGTAATATAGATGATTCCCTCTATAGAAGGCAAACCCAGTTGGGGAAGCTCCTGGAGTCAGCACAGGAGTAGGTTATTGTTGCTGTTAAAATATATAAATCTGAAGCCAGTAGCAGGGAATGCAAAATGGAACTTTACTGGAGGCTTGCTAGTTGGAAAGTGCTCTACGCAACTTCTGTGGTGAAGTTGCTGTTTCCTTATTCCAGGGAGCAAAGTCTTATAAATTAATAAAGTGCCAAATACAATCTCTTGGGAGATTCATAGTTTTGTAGGGGACACAAAACATACTGTTTTGAACTAACTAGTACAATGAAATACCTATGTGTAAACATATCTTCCAATTGGGCTTTGCCTATTAGAAAATTTACGTTTTGCCTGTTGGCAAAGCCGATAAAGCGTGCCAGGTTGCTCATTCTTTCACACGCCACTAAGCTCCTATTACATTGAGGCCTGATTAATAATTTTACAGTGGGAACAACAACCTGGAGGGTTCTTATTTCTCCATAGCAAAAAAAAAAATATAACATTTTATATTTGCCCGCATGCTCATTTCTTGCTGCAGGTTGCAAGCAAATAAACTAGTAAAAACAAGTAAAAGTTACTTTCCTTTACTTCTGCAGCCAGGGTTTAAGGTAGCCCAGAGCTTAGAGTAAAAGAAAAAAGAAAATCTTGCTTGCTTAAAAAAAAACAAACAACCCACGTTCTCAATCTATTTCTAAACAGTCACAAACGCAAACCACCTGTAAGGCCTTGAGGAAGAGCTCTCTGAAGGTTTTCATTGTGCTAAATACGTCTTCCAAAGACAATTTTTTTCGGTCTTCACAGAGATAATCAGCAAGTTCTTCCTTCTTCTTTTCAATGGTAGCAAACTCCTTCTGCAGGTCCTTTGAGGCATCGAGACTGCCCTGAGACACAGGTTGCAACACAATTTATGTATGTTAAGTAGCAGCGTGTTCTGAGCTGCCCAGAAGACTCAAGCCAGTTAACACAGAGCAGTCAATTTTTAAAAACCTGACAATTAAGATTAGTTCACTGATATTTTCTTCTTAACTGAACCATCTGCATTTCCCCTTGTTTCATTTGGCCCAAAGCACCTCATTGCATGCTGCCACTCTAATCATACAACCACAAGGAAATCTGGCACAACCTGGGATGACCAATCAAGGGAGATACAGCACCAGGATTTCTGCCTTTTAGCTTTAGTTAAGTGACGCAGTTTTGAGAACACGAAAAGTTAGGATGTTTAGAAATATATGCAAAAAAAGCATATTGCAAATCTGTTCACTTTTTCCCCCAGGGAACAGTGAGACAAAACATGTTTCGGTACTGCACTGTACGCATTTATAGTTGCATCCTACATTTCATTTTTAGAGCCTTCCTTTCTTTTGCCCACACACAAAGCTGACTGGTCCTCAGCTGCTTCCTTACCACGATACCACATTACAGAAGTGGAGGAAAATCTGGGATGCTCCTTCCCCCAGGGCACAGGGGGAATGTAGTTATGACCCCTTTCCCATAGAGCTCTATGTCCAGTTGCAGCCTGAATTACAGCGCCTTTGAGAAGAGATTTAAAGTGTTTAGGAAGAAGGATGAGAAGTGTTTTACACCCACATTACCTACTTGAACAGATTTTGCATGCTGAATTTTTAATTCGTCTGTCGACAAAAATAAACACTTCTCTATTTCCAACAGTTTCTTCAAATTGGCACCTGCCTCAGCCTGCATAACGTCAAAGTGGATTCTGAAAAGCCCACAAAAGGGACAGTACATTGAAAGGGTGAGTCTTTCGTTTTCATTATGTTAAAAGATTACTATAAACAGTATCATCTCTGCAAATGAACGTAGAATTAATTGTCTGACCCAGACCCTGCTGTTGCAGGCAGTTCTCCTCTGTATAAATCCCTTTCTATGTGCTCAAACCTTCATCTAAGAATCTGTGCTTTTGCCCTCGCTACCTCCCTGGACAGACTGTGGAAGAACCTCACTGTTCTAGTATTCAAAAAACTCCAAAATTTCCAGTCTATTTTTATTCACAGGCAACACACGTGAATCTCCCTTGTGCCAATACTGTCCTCACTTAGCTGGTTCTTTTCCCTCTTTGCCTTTTCTTGCTAATTTATTTATAGTCCAAAATTTTATCTCTTCTCAGAGTTCATTTAGCTCACGTGGAGACCCAAGCATGTTTCACCGCTGAACCACATCTCCTATGGTTCTGACTGATTCTTTGTGCCAGACAAAAAATACTGAATTAGCAAAACCTGACGTGGTATTTTCATGTGCATCCAGATGTGAGCAGCATTAGAAGAGTCCCATGCAGGATTTGCATTGTAAAC